TAACAGAACATACTTTGAAAGGACGACTAGCATCGAAGGCGATGCCATGTTTAACGGTGATGGCATCGGTGTCCACAAGAACAGGACAGAGGGAGAGATTTCTGACCGTACCGACAACCAAACTGTACACCTAATTAGCAACAGCCTCCTAAAGATGCTTACCTGGATATTTGGATGACCTGCCTTCACTGATTGTGCGGTCCCCAGTATAATGTCCATTGTTTTGGAGCTTCGCTTGTTTAGCCATTGTGGTTCTCCGGAGTCCCGAGGTCAGCCAGGCCAAAGCCTGCCTCCTACTGAAAAGAAATATCCAAAAATTTCGAAAATGAAACTGCGACATGCCGGAGCTGAACGGGAATTATGGGAATGAAATCAGAAGTGTTAATAAATTTGGGGAAGACAATGAAGGAAAACTTGAAGAACTCACTGCAAACACATTGGATTTTACATGAATAACGCAATTTTCAGAGCTGAATTCTCGAGTGCATCGAAATGTTCAGGATTTTCGCTGAAATCATGGTTATGGCCAAAGTATAACCTCAAAAGGCAGCGCCAACTGCTTCAAGGAAAACAAGACATCTCAGTAATACAAATCGCCTAATTCTGAACACTCACTTACTTTCGTAATTCCACATAAATACATCGTTGTCAAACACAACCGATGCTCTCGTGATTTCCGTGAACAACCACCTCGTGCTGAACCATGACCACACATCTGAGTGACAACCCACATGAAAAATCAAGGACAATTTCACAAACTTTTGAAGAGAAAAAGACTTTTAAAAAAGGATTCTAGAAGGCCTCCCAACGGTTTACCACCTAACCGTGGCTAGGATGAAAATCATTCGTCAGCACGACAGGGTCTCGCAATCTGATAAGGAGTCCGGCGTTTCCATCACGAAGTCCAGCTAAGAGTAAACCAATACCAGGATCGACTACCGCCCTGGTATTAAACTACTGGCATGATGGAAAATCTCCCTCTGATCCATAAATGCAGCCACTACCTGTGGTAGAGACGACCAGGGGCAGACTTTGGCCTGGCTAACCTCGGGACTTCAGGGAGGAACCACAATGGATAAAAGCAAAACTTATGCTGGGGTCGAAGGACTAGCGAGAACGGGCTATCCAAGTAAGCGGTATTCTAGAAGGTGAAGTGGGTGACGTAATCGGTTAAATAAAGAACTCACTTCGAATCTAATATGTCAATTCATCTGGCAAGGGTTACCTTTCGGCCGTTCCAGAACGAACTGAGGGCGTCCTTTGGTATGAGATCCACCACCAGGGCCCAAAACTGGCGGTGATCCTGCACACTTCAGTTTCCATTCAATGCAGTAAGAAAACTCATGAAATCACGGTACGTGCCGTTCTGTGTCCAAATTGAATTGAAGACATCCGTAGAGTCGATCGTGTACTCGACGTGGACACAGACCCGTCGCGCTGCACTCTCCACAGAATCAATAGCAATGGCTTCCATGAATGAGTCAATCAGGGACGAGTATCTAAGGAAAAAAATGGGAAAAAGAAAGAAAGACGCCAGTACGGATTTCTTCATAAAACACTGGTAAGAGATAAGGAGGGGCTAAAGAGGTAATAGAGCTTTAATAGCCACTAACACTTTCCAGCCCGACATGAAGCGTCAGAAGTGTATTTTTCGGAAAAAGCGATGACATTACTAAATATCCGTCCATTTGCTCCCTATTTATTGACTACTCTTAGAAAAGCAAGGAAGAGCACAACATAAAAGGAGAATGAGAAGAAGCAGAAACACGTATTTGAAAAACGCGCACTTGACGATGCTCCTCGCAACAAAGCAGATGTTCCGCCTTCCGTCAAGGCTGCCGTCAATTGAAAAGTTCCTGGAAGACAGGAAGTTTATCATGAAGAGAAGGATGTTTTTCTACTGTTACTATAGAGGAGATCATTAGTGTTCAGATTTAGTAATATGTTTCACGTGTTTTCATGAGGAATGGACCTTAACCCCCAAAAAGGCGGTGGTTTGTTTTTAGTGTTTGGTTTTGACGGTGGTAGCGAACGATCCTTCTAAATGGCTTAGTTTCCTCATTCCTTAGTACATTTAATAGAAACATGTACAGTAAGCTCTTAGAACTAGATAAAGTCGTATTTTAAGGAACTTAAAGAGTACTAGAATACAGGTTTCGGGGAGGATCAATCCCTAAGGGATGCAGCGTGCGTTCGACTTTATCATAAGTCCTCAGAGGTGACTAAACGAATATTTGGTTGTCCATGCAATGACTTATTTTGGCATACCGACGTATTAAGTCAATGCGTCTGTCCTCTCAGACAATTCTATTCCCAATTTCTCCACCACGGAGTGATGGAAAGAATCCTGCGTGCGGCGTCGAGCCAGCGACTATTTGCATATTGCAGTGCTCCTCTAACCACTGCGGTACAGAAATCCTTGTTATTAAGTACTTAGTTGAGCACATTTAGCACATTAGTCGAAAGACTGCACTGTCACAACCGCAAGTGTGTTTTCCAAAAGTATCGGTGGTGCAAAAGAAACAAAATTGCCACTGATGTGTTTATCCGTTTCATATCGTGGCTACTTGAATATTTGGATAGCCCGTTTTCATTGGTTGTGCGGGTATCAGTGTAATTTTTATTACCTGATATTTGCTGGTTTAGCCACTGTGTTTCCCTGCAGTTCTGAGGACAGCCCGGCCAGAGTCTCCCCCACGTCGTCACCACCGCAGGCAATTGTCGCCCTTGTTGATCTGAAGGAGATTTCCCACCATTCGACTAGTTTCATACCAGGGCGGTGGTGGATCCTCGTATTGGTTCACACTTAGTTGGGCTTCCTGTTGGAAACGCTGGTCTCCTTAGCTTAGGAGACCCTGTCGGGTGAAGAATCCCACTGCTGTACATCACAGCCCGACACCAAGGAATACCTCCCAGCCACGAAGAGGAGGTAGTAGACCGTTGATGGGTCTCATATCTATCCCAGTCTGTCTTATATCTGCATGAGTTTATTTGCAAAATGTAATGAAAGCGTCATAAATCAGCAAGTGGGAGCTGCTTCTAATGAAACCCAAAGTCGCTTGAACACAGATAACTCAGAGTCATGGAAGTCTAAAATATACAACTATTAGGTTCAATGACTTGTACTCCAAACTTTTAGTAGGTGACGAAGTAACAGTATAGGCAAATAAGCACGAGTCGGCCTCCGCAATATGAAATACTGCTGCAGCTTGGAAGGTGGGGATCTTTGAAAGAACTAAATAGTGGCTAAAAAGTTTGGAAGTGGTTTTCAAATTTTCACCTTCTAGAGAAGTTTTATTTCTAAGCGTATTACAGTAGAAAGAGAGGCGAGTGTAGCTCAGTGGATAGAGGTGCCCTGCAACACATTCCTCGTCCTTGATTCGATCCCGCAACGCTTCCTCACCAAGCATTCTATTCGTCCTGGGTCGGCTAATTGGTACCAGACTTGTGTAGAAGGATAGCAACACTGGCTCGATACATCGGCAGGTTACCACGAGTCATTATGGGTCAGATATGTATTCAATCACCTCCATCGACGCTTAATGAAATCGAATGCATGGCGCATCCCTTAGGGATTGATCAACGCCGAGAGGTTCATCCTTTGTCGTCATTCTCATCACCTTAGGCTATTTTCATTCGGTAGAACCTAAAACAAATGTCGGTCGCTCATTCCTAGGACCGTCTTTCTCTTAACCTTGGCATTGTTCAGCAATTTACACCATGTCTCAGAGTAATATTTTAACGAGAGGAACATAATCATACATGTGAACTCTGTGGCGATAGTCTCCAAGTGGATTGCTTTGTGAAACACTCACAGAAAGTAACGATTTGAGGAGGAAGCCGTTTTGTTTACAGTGCAACTGAAACCTAGATATCGCGGTTTCTCTGGTTACGTGGGTTTTTAACTGCCTAGATTGCCCTTAACCTGACCTTCTAGGCTCGGAAAAGGGCGAAATTCACCGAAACGTCAGATTTTCTGAAAAAATGGTATGATAGGAAGCTGATCTTGGTTTATCAAAACAATTGATGTCCGTTTTTTTTCAGTTTTAGCAACGCACCGTAATCGTTTTCTCCATGCACAACAAGGTTAAAGCATTACTGGTAATTCCGCTGACGAATTAATTTTATCCAGTAACTCTATCGTAACTCTGCATAACGAGTTAACTCTGTTCAGTAACTCTACTGGAACTCTGCGACGTCCTTTCCCAGAAGCTCCGTTGCTGGCGCGATGCGCTTCGTCGCCTTTCCGGGACGAATTTTTCTCTTTATATTTTTAGTGGAAAACGGAATTCTTCCAGGCAGAGCTCAGGGCAAAAGTGTTTTTTCCTCGGGAACATTTCTACTTTCACATGTGGATTTGCTCGAATGTAAACGATTTTGTAGTATCAACGCGGTGTTTGTGAATGAAGTTTCGAGAAAACTATTTTCACCTCAGAATGGCCTTGTAGTTAAATACGTTTCATCGAAATGCGCGTCACGCTTTCTTATTGGTTTAAGAAACGCATCACTAGGTCCTTCTTCATAGCATAAACAAGATACCTGCAGAGCGAGATGAGCCGCGTGGCACGCATTCAACGCAAGCGATCAATTTGCTCAGGTTTTATAAATCGGAATGCCTTTCTGTATCTCTGTGAAGCATTTTTCGCACCACAAGTTTTAATCGATATCGATTATTTCAGCTTGTGGCTCAAGGAACTGCGATGTAGAAAAACCAGTTCCATCATTCTGCGGAAATGACGTCAGGTGTTGAAGTAAGTATCTTATCCAGTGCTTCCGCGTTCCTCCCATGTTTCCATCGAGGGTAGCTTAGAACATCAAAGGAATTAGGAAGTAAATTAACAAAACAGCATGGGGAAAATTCTGATGAATCGTTCTTATGTAGGAATGTTTTCACGTAGTTCGTCATCGTTTATTTTCTTCTTTGCCTGTTAGCGCATCAGATTGCGTAGTCATCTATTGGATCTTTTCCCTAAGAACTTCAGAATGAACTCATTTCGGCGATGCAGACGACGGACGAATCGGCCGTCAAGTCAACCACACGGGATGCTTTCGACGTCAACGACTCGGATGCCCTCGGAAACTCACCATTGCTTTATACCGTGTTCGATGGAGATGTGGCACTTACATCAATGCTCCTTGATCAGTCCATCCTACGATATTTTCTTTAGTTTCTTTTTTCTTTTACTTTTCAATTTTCAGGATTACGAAGTTGGAGTGCAACAGTAGATTCTATGAATCTTTCTTTTCTTCGCACGTTATCGGTCTAAACGCTGTAGACGATGCTGTCTTTTCTATTTTTTATATTGTCCCTTTGAATTGGTTTAATTAATTTTCCCGTGCTGCTTTCAAATCGGTTCATTTTGTTTCAGTAGGCGGTGCGAATGCAAACGCACAAGACGCGGTAGGACTGTTTGACTGCTCCACGAAATTTTGATGTCGCGAAACTCCTCGTTGATGAAGGTATGACGCTTCCATAGTAATAGCATTTTCATACGTCATTTTATTGTAGAAGATCATGGCTGAAAAATAGCTTTCTTGTTGTTCCTTGGTTTGTTGTTTCTTCCAATTTTGTGAAGATCTTCGTCGCACATTCGCCGCATCAGATGGTGACGAACAATCCGTGAAGGGTGCGCCATGCGTTCGACTTCATCAAGCAGCGTTAGAGGTGAGTGGATGCATGTCTGGCCTGTACCTTGACTCGCGGTGACCCACCGATGGATCGAGTCGGTTCTGCTATCCTTCGATACACCTCTGGTAATGATTTACCGACTTCGCTACGGACAGATGCAAAGCCTGATGAGCAGTTGGCGCGAGATTGAACCCATGTGTACTGCAGGGCATTTGTAACTGCTACGTTATACGCGCCTCACATGCATGATTATATTTATCGGGAATTTTTTTTTTAAGTCATCGATGACAGTGCGGATATAACTTATTTTGCATCATTCTTCATCGAATCTACTGTGTATCCCAGCACTTCTTGCATTCGATTCGTTTTCCTCGCATTCACCGTTCACAGCGGTCTTCGAACACTTCCAAATTTGTTTCGGCTGCTGCTTGACGATTACATCTTTTTTGTGAATGTCGTATAATTCTGATCGAGTCGGCTGTTCTTGAAATCTTTGAGGTAGCAGATTTCTCTAAGGTTCCAATCATCACCTTGCTTCTTGCTGGGCTGCTTCTAGCCACCGTGCTACTCTTCTATTCACTTTGTGTTACACATGTACATACATATGTTCATATTTTTGTATACATACATATATGTATATATATATAGTATTCTTTTTTCGATACAAATTACCTTAGTTCAGCGAGTTCTCGATGTGTTATACTCATATACACGTAGATGTATAAATTCATACGCGCTGGTCTTCTTCAGGTAAGATTCGCTTATGAGTGTCGGTGAAATAGTGGTTGGTTCATGAGGAAAACACCGCAAAACTATCTCTCAGTGATATCTTCAATCCATCGTTACTGTGGAAGAAGTATGTTCTGTGGTAGGCGATGTTCGGCATGCCGTTCGCCTTGCAGACTCATTACGCCAAGTCGTTCAACATTTCTAACCATCAGCATATATAAGGGTAAATCAACACTGCTGGCGAACGCCTTGGGCTTTACGTAGCAAAAGTATGTTGTACTTCACGTCATTGGTTGAACTAGATCTGCTGGACTTCCCCAGCGACCAAGATCGGTAAATGGAAGTTTTACAAATGCAGATTTAGCGTCTGAGTGTGATATATACGTAGGTTCGGAAATCAGTCGCGGTTTCAGCTTGTATCTGTGAAGACGCATATCTCAGCTCAGAAAACATTTTAGTGTTGGAATTAAGAACAGTTAGAATTTAAAAATTCCCATTATGAGAAGTAGGTTCGTTCGTTTTGTCCATATAGAATTGTGTAGCTCTTGGAACGATTAAGTCATTGAGAGCAGTTCTGGCTTCCGCTTGGTTTCTAGAGCATCTCATGCACAGGAAGTTGTCGAAATTTCTGAAGAACTGGTAGTCGGCAGACGAAGGATCCAGAGAGAATGGTTGATGAGGCATGGTTTCGTAGCAGGACTTGTTCAACCTGTGCAGTGTCGTAAGTGTGCAGTCTATCCGAGCATTATCATGGAGAAAGATGTTTCCCTTTCGCTCGAGTCTATTACCCATCTTCTTCGACTTTCCAATTTTCTTTAAATGCTGCGAAACAGTGGGAATTCCTACACTGAGTTTTTCAACAAGCTCTTCAACAACTGTGCATCCATGTGCCTACAGAAAGGCCTTAAATTCATTTACCTACAGAAAGGCCTTCAATTCATCGTCTTCTATAGCAGAAGGGCACTGTAACTTTGCCGAGTTCGCTACCACAAAGTTTGTGAAGCCGACGTTGCACTGAGGATTCGTTAGGGCGTTCTTCACTTTACAATTCATGATCTGTTTCTTGCCGTTTGCCCTGTAGGTGTAGGGTGCAGTGGCTGAAGGCGCCACTGCGACACACACGTGGCATCGATCTCTGCGCCCATGGCCCACCAAGCCTTCCATCCCTCCGGGGTCGGCAAATTGGTACCAGACTTGTTTTGGAGGATAGCACACTGGCTCGATACATCGGTAGGCCACCGCGAGTCATTGTAAAGGCCGGATATGCATTCGATCACCTCCAACGATACTTAATGAAGTCGAATACATGGCGCATCCCTCAGGGATTGATCAGCGCCGAGAGCTTTATCCGATAGCTTTTTTGCGCTGCAATAGATAGGGTTTAAATTCGTAGAAGTAAATTTGTCGAAATTGCTGTTTTGCCATCTCAATTTCTAATCTCTAAAACTTGCAAAATGCGCTTTATATTATAATTAAATTGTACAGAGTGAAATTATATAAAACAAGCTCAGTTATACCACCTTCTTTTCCTAGCCTTTGTGGCGTGCGAACAATCGTTCAACATCGTCCGGATGAATGCAGTTCTATCAGCGCTCATCTCTGAAGGAGTGAGCAGGAAGCGGAACACAGGAACTCTGGCTGACTATTATGGTTACTGCACCCCGAAAAGGTAGTTCTTTTTCTTCAGAACTGCACTTCTTTTGGCAACCTGGCGTGGAGGTTACGTCTGTGTTGAATATCTAATAGACGAAGGATCAGAAATGGAAGCAATCGATGACTGCCGTCCGATATCACTCGTGTGTTTAGTCAAGGAGTCGAACTCCTGGTGCGTCCTTTATTTGTTTTCACGTTTCTTTTTTACAAAGAAGGTCTGATAATTGCACACTTTAAGCCATGGTGCACTAAACCAAATCAGGCTTCTATTTGTTTTATGCGAATGCAGATGCATTTTATGCAAACCATGGTTTTTGGTTCCACCTCGTCCCCCTCCCCCCCTATTCATGCATCATATGCTTTCCGCAGATTGCTTATACGCTTATTTAAGAAAACGTCCCTGCAGTCCTCCAAGGTTGGTGATTCGGTGTGCTTAAGAGCGTAGTTGTCCCAGGATCACGAGAAAAATCTGCTCGACTAGTGTTCAAAATTGTTAGTGATGAAAATAAAGTCGTTAAGGAGCAGCCGAATCCACCTGTAAACCCGATGACCTACATGGCAACGGATATAATAAAATGAATTGGACGAAAAGTATTGGGATCAAATATTTGGTGACCGGTTCGGTGAATAAGTAAATTAAAGTTGCAAAGATATTGTCATTGAAAATGTGGAATAAATGGAGTAGTATGTATGGTGGATACCATTCGCATGACTTTTAGCTATCCAAAAACCATTGGTTGAGACACAGAAACGTCGCCAGTGCCTAGTAAACATTGAACCATAGTCGCTAACAGGCGTTGGAAGCGAATCAGAGCGGTGTAAAAACCATGCAGTGCTTTCAATGAAGCAAGTATTCGCCCAGCTTCAGGTCGCCTGGCGATGGAGAATGTCGTAAAGTCTTCCAATTATTCGTATCTGATTCCATAAGGAAGGTGGATGCGAAAATCACTGGAACGACATGTGCCAATTTCCCTAATAACGCAGACGGGCGTTGCTCTCCAAGAGATAGGAGTATAAATCGTGAATAACCTTCCACTAGGTTCCTCGGAATTCGATGGCCTGTTTTATGATTTCATTTTTCTTGCATATTTTCTAGCAGTGATCTTTTTTCAAATGCTTTATGTATATATATATGTACTTAAATGTATATATACATATAGATACATACACACATACATACATGCATACATACATACACGGATACTCGGGTGATGGATTCGAGGAAAGGAATCGAATGCAAGAAGAGCTGGGATCCGCACACTGTGATACATGTGATGTCGAATCATCTGCTATCTGGTGAGATGAAGTTTATCATGATCATTAACAAAAACTGAATCTTTTAGGGCCTTGCATATTGCATTCAGAAGCTGATTAATCGACTTCCTACTTTGTTTCATTTCATTTGGAAGTGAATCAATGTGCATCAAGGTAGTCTGGCTATCTACTGTATTTCGTATATGAGGTTTTCGAAAAATATATAATTCGTTTTAGGATGCCGAGGCCTAATTGTTCTTATTTGCGATTTCGAAGACCAAGACATCATCATATCATTGACTGATGCTGTTAGTCCAGGTCTATATGGCAGAATCGCCCATAGAACTTTCTTCGCTTTATTCTCTGATGGTCGCCAAAGTTTGATGCGTTTACTATGTTTTATTGTACGTTGGGTAGTGCTACTTCTACGTATTGAACTCCACGCTTAAACAATATATCTTTAACACGAATAAGGGGACTATGGAATAATAAGCAAATCAGAGATGAAACGGATTACAATGAACCTCACGTATGTTTCGACATGGAGATCTCGGACGGGTTATTTCCGAACTCTTGCGTCTAGTGTGTCAGTGTGTTAAACGTAAACCTAAAGGGATGATGTGCTGTGTTTGAACTGAAATCTTGGCGAATTCTTAAAATGGACTACTTTTCTGTTGTATCATGGGTTCTCCAGTCTTCTAATCTATATCCCGACTGTACCCTTTACGTCGAAAATGCTGAATCATGGATAAAAAGTAAGCAACTATTTACTCTAATCTGAAAGTAAATTTGATACGACACCGTTGTAGACGAAGGGTTACAGAGAAACTGCAAAATTTTTTAAAGCACCATACTATGATCTACGTTTACCACATATGTACACTTACTGAGATATTTGAAAGGTCGGTCCTAAAGAGTAATGCGGGATCAAGAACATTCTCAATACGTTCCGTTGCCTCTCAAGCCTCGTTCATGGTGGAGATTAGCTTCAAGTATTATGCTAGCTGGTGCGAGTCTCATACCGCTGTAAAACCTCTGCAGCTGTAGGTACAACTGTGTAATCC